TTATCACTGCCTGAAGATACCACAACTGGCTACTTTTCTCACATAGTGTCTAGTTTTCTTCCACCAAGCTTCCCTGGATCAGAAATCGTGCCTGTCTTGTGTACCACACAGATCCCCTGAGCCCAGAACAGTGCCTGGTACACAGTAGTGCTCAATCCAGATTTCAGCATGTGCTACATGAATGAAGATCACATGCTCTGGAAAGCCTTGACCGCTAGGCTGGGTTAGATGCCCCTCCTGTGAGCTTCCTTTGTCCTTTGGGCATGTTTCTTTGTATAGCACTTGAACTATAGCTGATTTTGCTATTTAAAAAGTGCCTTTCGCCCTAGCTGGTTTGGCTCCCTGGATAGAGGGTTGGCCTTCGGACTGAAGGGTCTCAGGTTTGATTCCGGTCAAGAGCACGTACCTCGGTTGCAGGCTCCTAGCCCTGGTCGAGGCATGCAGGAGGCCACCAATTGATGTGCCTCTCTCACATTGGGGTTTCTCTCTATCTCTCCCTCTCTCTTCCACTCTCTCTATAAAATTAACGGGAAAAATATCGTCGGGTGAGGATTTAAAAAATAAATAAATAGATAAAATAAAAACTGCCTTTCATGCATCCTCCCGCAGTAGTAACCCTTTCAGGGGTGAGAGATGGGCAAGAGGAGGGGTGAGAGGGAAAACCCTAGAGGGGAGCAGTGTTGGAAACCACTGGATTGTTGGGGAGGGAGTGCTAAATCAGAAGGGTTTTCAATCAAGTTCCCATTCAGAACTGTCCAGGGAGGTGAGTTCTGGAGAGAGGAAGATACCTCCCTGGGGCCCACCAGACCACTTTGGAGTGGAACACATGTCAACATGCAGGCAGGCAGGGCAGGCCCCTCAGCTCCCGGGTCGTGTAGAAGGATTACAGAAGCTCCGTGTCATGCAGAGGAAAGAAGAAAGGAAAGAAGAGAGCTGAAACTCTGGTTGGCAGGGTTTGTGGGCTTTTGCTGCAAACAGGGCTGAGTGAGCCTATGGGTGAGGGCTGCTGAGGGTGGACTCCGGGCAGGGCATCAGTTGAAAGCTGTGAAGCCTTAGGATTCGGCAGCACTGGGACAGCCAAGACCGGGCCTGGTCAGCAAAGGGAGGCCAGAACCAGAACCCACAAGTAGGACTGAGCCCCCTACTCTGATGTAACAACAACCCAGTAAAAGCTCATAAAACCCAATGCCACCTTGCCAAGTGAAAGGTTTCAGGAGAAATAGCCCTGACAGGAAATTCAACCCGAGTTGATCAAATATTGGGGCAAAATAAAGCTGTTTACACCTGAACAGATGGCCATACCTTTACTGACAAATTTGAAGGGTCCTCCCAACCCACCCTTTCCTACTCTTTAGTGAGTTAGAGGCTGGAAACCCGGCCCTTTGCTATATTTCCTTTTCTCTCCACTCTTTAGACTCTGAACTCTTTACAGGACAGAGTCTGTCTTCCAGTTGTCTGGCACAAATGGAAGCTGCTTATGTCGTTTTACGTTTTCTAGCAGCCACATTCCAAAACTAAAAAGAAACTAAAAATAAACAGGTGAAATTAATTTTGAGAGTATAGTTTATTGAACCCAATATAACAAAAATATTATCATTCCATGTAATCAACATAAAAATTATTAACGGGATACTTCCTTCCTGCCCGCCCCCATCCCCCAGTCTTTAAAATCTGGTGTGTATTTTACAGTCTTAGCACACCTCACTTTCAAATGCCGAAAAGCACCTGTAGCTAGGGTTTGCCTCACTCGTCTAGCGCAATCCCCGCCACAGAGGAGGTAAAAAGTAAATATTGATTCAATGGCTGCATTTCTAATACTAAATGTTATCATTACATGTTCCTACCTCCTGAGAAGCATTTGTTCTTTTCAAAATAGGGCAGATTAGCGCTGTCCCTCTCGGGAGCTCACCCCCGCCTTTCCCATCCCCCCCGCCCCCCCAGGTGTGTTACCTTTGCTTTCCCTTTCCTGAGCGCCAAGGGCCCTTCTTTTGCTTCTGTAACTTGTTTCCTGAGCCTATTCGGCCCAGCTGGCTCACTTCTACTACCTTTGTGACTTTCTGAATAAGCTTTCTTTTATAATTTGAAAACACACACACACACAGTCAGACAGAACAATAAATCATGCTTTGCCTTGGATGCATAGCATCTACAGGGCTTGGCCAATACTACTTGGCATTACATTTAGAAACAGTACAATAAAACATACACCTTACCATGCCTTAAAAATGCACATTCAAGTGCAACGTTGACTTCACTATGCTTGTGTCAAATTGCAGCTAAAAACCAAACAAATGTGTAGCCCCTCCCAAAATAAATATATTTGTACTTTGTCCTCAATTGCATGGCCATATCTAATATTTGTGGAGCCTGGTATAATCTCTTATGATATTTCACAGAGTCTCAGAGGCTTGCTTTTAAAATTCAATTGATATGTTCTGTATTTAATCACAAACCAATTTTGTTATTCATTGTTCAGTGTTATCCAATGACCAATAACCATGTTCACTTTGCTTAATTGAAGGTTAATTTGATCAAAAGGACAGTTTGTGCCTCGAGGGAATTTCCTGTTGTATGAGACGATCATCCTCATGACTATCTGGCTAATCATTTCCCATGTGTACTCCTGACGTTGGAACTATTTGCTGTCCCGTTCTAAGGACAAAGCTGTATCCTCCTTCTTGTGTTTGTTTTTAACTGCCTTTCAATGCATTCCAACATGCCGAGAATGTTTAATTCCTCTCAAAATTGCTGCTGATCACAATCAGGCTGTGTTTCTCCCTTTATAGCCTAGTTACTACAGGAAGGTGTGCAATGGCATTGATTCTGGAACAAATAGGCAATATTGTGGAGAGAAAACCATTATTGAATGGTCCTCTCTCCCAAATAACTTAACGTTACTACTTCATAGTGGTTCCATTGTCCATGTTGTTAATGTAAAAAACCATTGAAACTTGTAAAGAATTTTTGTGAGTTTATTTGAGCCAAACTGTCGACATATGAAGGGAAGCAGAACCTCAATGAATTGAGATAATGCTCCAGAGAATGGTAGGTTACATCTGTATTTATACATTGCAATCAAAGGAAAGGGACATAGGTGGGTTACATGAAATCCATTGGTGATAGACTAGAGAGGCGGGAGAAAGCAAAGTGGGGAAACCCCTGGGATTGGATAAAAAGTAAAATGATAGACATATACTTAGGTGGGTGCAGGAACAATTAACATGACAATAATGAAGGAATTTGTGGTATCTGTCCTGGCATATTAGGTTGTGCCCCCAAGGGCTCCAGAAAAAGGGAAGTTACAAGTTACCCAGACATTTCAAAGGTATGTTATAGATGCAACAAGACAGATAGGCTCAGTTGAGGTAAAGGTTGACCTTGTCAGTGAAGATATCAGCCTAGGACGTAACTACCCACCGTAACTGCTCTTAGTTAAAGTTTAATTTCAGACCATCCTTTGTTACTCTAGGTCTCTGAGTTTGCAAGACCACCATGTAGGCCTTCCCTGAGCTTGTCAGGTTAGCATGTGTTCCCTTTCGTCCACAATGTATTTTGCTACTTTGCTGCTGAGAATCTCTCTTACTAGGTTAGAATCTCTAGCAGATAATAAATTTTCACATAACACTAGTTACACGATGCATCAGTGACCCCTTATTAACAGTTTCCCAACTCAAGGGTGAGAGATACAAACAACTCTCACGGTCCTCCACCAAAGCTAAGTATTAGAGTTTCCCTATCTGAGGAGGAGAGGAGGCAGAGTCTAACACCAGGCCAGAGTGGTGAGGGATTACGAATCATCCGCACACCAGGTGGCTGAGCCTGGTTGGCTCCAGCACCCAGTGAAGGGAGTCAGCGGCTTTTAAAGGACTTTTGGTGGGATCTTTCTGGGCAGAGACTTCTTTATGCATACCCAGAGGGGAGAGAATGGAATGTGGTCACCATAAGTGAAAAGTGGTCTTCAGCAAAGGGAATGTCCATATTGAATTGACCATAAAGCCAGTGGGGGAGGCGGGTAAGTTGGGGGGGGGTCAAATTTAAGGCCCTAAGGTCCTCCTTTGGAGCCTCCTAAGTAGTATTCCAGTGACTTCCTCAGTTGGAATTGCTCCTCTCTGTTTTCTGGGAGAGTTAGTCCCTATCCTGTGGATTTCCTACGCTGAGAATTGCGGGGTGTCTTCCTTTTTTTAACAACCTTTTATTTGGCACCTACCACATATCAAGCTCAGAAGAAACAGTGGGGAACAGGCCCCATGGAGCCCTTCCTCCGAGTGCCTGGGCTGGCAAACATCCCAGACTCCGAACCACACTTCCCTGCTCGCGGCACAGCCCTCGCTCTCCTCGCTGCTGCCTAACCCTACACTATCTTCTTAGGCTTAGTTGGGAAGAACTGTCCCAATAGCATCTCTTAAAAAGTCAGGATAGTTTTGAAAGAGGTGACAATATTGAGTATTTACAAATAGACTATTTACAGATTTACAAATTCTGGGTGGCATCTTCTGCTCCCACTTGTAAGGCAGGCGCACTTGGCTGCTCTGGAAACTAGAAAAACGTTAAACTCGAATTCAAATCAAGTTTTCAGAAATCGTACAGGTGAAGCCTCCCTCTGGTTGCTAGGCAACCGGACGGACTCTCCAGCGAGGACCAACTTGCCTCCCACACTGGACCATCTCTCCCCAGTGGTGGGACGCGGAGGCCCCATTGGTCCCCGTCTCCTCTCACTCGGCTCCAATTGGCCGCCGAACCTCTCACTCCGCTCCCGTTGGCTCTCGCCGTCTGGCGCCGAGCTCTCATTGGCAGGCCGGTTCTCGGGCCACTCGACGTCACTCTCTCACCCCACTTCCTCTGCCCTCCGACTCGGACACCGCCCCTCCTCCCGCCCTTCCAGCCACGAGGGAAAAATCCGAGCGAGCGCCCTCCTCTACCTTCCTTCTGATTGGTAGAAGCCAGGCTGGGGGGCGGGCACTGCCGGGCTCGTCTGCCGGCTGCGATTGGCTGCTTGAGCCACTGCCCCGCCTCCCACCGCCTCCCGGCGCTGCCGGAGTCGGGCGGGTGGGCGGCTATAAAGCCGGTGGCGAGGGGAGTCGCCGCGCCCTGCGCCTTCGTGGCTCGCTCCCTTTGCCGCTCCGCCGCCCGGTCACCTCTGGGTGAGTGCCCCGCGCGGAGAGCCGTCGCTGGACGGCGGAGGGGCCGCGGGCGGGGTGAGGGCCGGCGGAGGCGGAGGCGGTGCCCTTGACTAGGCCCGAAGAAGTCCGGCTCGGCCCGGCTCGGGGCAGAGGGGGACCTGGCCCCCGAGAGTCAGAGCCGAGCGAGGCTCCCTGCAGGCGGCGGGCGTGGGGCGGGGCCGGGGGCTCTGGGGTGGGCTGGCGAGTTGCGGAGTGGAGAGGGCGAGAGGGCGTTGAAGGTTATGGGTTCGAGGGACACAGTCGGCCAGGAGTCGGAGGTGCCAGGGCAGGGGCCGGGCGTGGGCATCTGCCGGGGACGCGACCGGAGCTGCGTTGCCAGGGCGCTCCCGCCGCCTTCAGTGAAGGGGACGCCCGGGGATGGGGAAGCTCACCCGTGGGCTGTGGCTTGGCGGGGGGTGTGTCCTGCCACCCCAGGGCAGTTGCTGGGAGGAAGGGGAGTGGGCAGCATCCCCAGCCGAGCGCAGGGGCAGGTAGGCATCGCGGCCGCGAGGAACCTGGCCGAGGGCTGGCGCTCTTGGCTGCTGCTCACGGCGCTTGCTTCAGAGACCAGATTCCTGCCTCCCACCTTCCGCCTCCGTCATTTTTATGCCCATTTTAAAAACAGGGTTCCCCGTACCTCCCCCCTGCCGACAGCTTCAGGACCAGCCTGACCTGCTAGGACGATGTGATGGGCCAGGCACCCACAGGGCCTGCACACACCAGAGGTTTTGGGTTAAGTCAAGGACATTCCCAAAGCAAGTCTATGGAGCCTTTGCAAACGCATGTCCTGCCGCGGCCCGGGGTAGAGAGGGGATGGCTCAGGGCCACGCCGGGGGAAGGGGTTTGGACCACAGGTAAAGAGAGGCTGCCCCTGCTTGCCATGCTTGCCTGTGGCCTGGGCCTTCGGGCTCCTCGGGCTTCTCCGGGGCTCCGTCTGCTGCGGGCCTTCCTCCGGATGCTCTGGCCAGCCTGCTGCAGCCGGGCCAGGTCTGCTGCTGAGCACCAGGGGCTCCGTTTCAGGGTCAGGTCATGAAAAGGGATAGCGAGATAAATGACAAAATCAAGACGAATGGAGGGGCTCACGCAGCTACCCGACTTTTCCTTCTGAGATGGAGCGTGGACCTGTCTGTACTGCACAGATTCTGTCAGGAGACGGATTGAAAGTCCTTAACACGGACCTGTGCCCAGTGGGTCTTTGCAGCTTGAGACACCTAAGCAGTCTGTGTTCATTCTCTGATCAACACCTTATTTTCAAAATTTCAGTTATTTTCGTATGGACAGGAAGAGCAGGAAGAGCATGTTTTATGGGGGGTGGAGTAAGACATTCTTTTTGTTTTGTTTGTCCTTTGTAGGTTTCTCTCTTCTGAGTTTGTCCTATTTTCAGTTCTAGTTTAGTTCAGTTCCATGCTACCTTAGTCGGTAACTCCAGTTCTTAGAGGGTGTTTCCCTTTGGGGAGAGTTAAGTGGATGTGACGTTTGAGGCCATAGACGGCCATATCATCTGTTAGGCTAATTCTGGCGCTTGCTTTTGATCTTGTTTACTTAAATATTCCTCCAGAATGCTTTCACGTCTTGTTTCTCTTCACTGGGGTTGGTTTTGAGAATTTTTGGTCAGTATTTTAGATAGCTTTTCTCACAGGAAATGCAGAACCCTGATGTTGATGTGACGTGTTTCCTTGGTACCCTAGAATTATTTAAAATCATAATCCAGTGGAACTGAATGTGGGGAGACACAAGTTGGTTGTGGAGGGAGGAGCTTGATGGGCTATATGTCAGAATCACTATTTAGTTTCATTTAGAAAGGGGTATCAAGGCTTATAATTTTAGGTCGGGTTCCTAAAGAACCAAGTATAGAAGGGTGTGATATTTCTATGTTTCTCAAGAAGGTGATATAGATTGAAGAGGTTGAGAAATGTGTCACCCAATCTAATGGGAGGAGGGCAGGACTCGTTCTTAATCACCTATTCACCCTAGTGCTTGGCATGTGTGATGCTCACTAGCTGTCCATCAGCTGAGTATACCTAGTTAGAGCAGTAGAGGAGAAGCTAATCTTTCAAGCTCACAGTCTTCTCTGCAGGGTTTGTGCTTGGGGATGCGTGCATGTGGGAATGATTGTAAGACTAACAAGTGTTCTCGTCTGATTCCGTTTCGATTCCTTACATTTTTCGGGTTAGGATCTGGGAACAGTGGAAACCTACCATTTGCTTTGAACAGCAACAGTAGAGAGCTAATTTTCTGAACACTCTGGTGCTGCCGCTCGCCTTAAAAGTGATAGCAAAAAACTTACTAGTGAGGGCAGCTACAAGTACTAAATCTACAAGATTTGTCCTGTAATTGTTTTAACTCCAAATTCAGCCCCTTAAAAAATGGCAGTTGAATGCCCTTTACTCCAAGGTCTCAAAGGGATTTCAAAAGAATAAAAATACAGTCCTTCCCCCAAGAGGAGTCTAGGAACCCAGGGGGGATGGGAGGACCTCTCAGAGTTTTCTTTTGAGGGTAGAATATGGAGACTTTGGTGTGAATGACGTGCTTGCTGCAGGAGTGCAGGGCCCTGATTAGAAAACTCTAGGAAACTTTCCTAGTAGAGGAATCTTACAAGAAGGTATTGAAATATGAGTATACTCTCTGATAAGCAGACCAGTAACTGAGGTGGTGGTGGGGGGGGTCGGCAGGGGTATCCATGTTTTATACTTAGAGAACCAGCCAGCGTGTCCGCACAGGAAGGCTTTCTTCACGGCAGTCTTGTTTGCTTGCTCCTGTGGTGGAAAGGCAGCTTATTCTCAATTGCCTGGATTCCTCTCCTGTAATAGTGAGCAGGTCGCCAGGTGACTGCTTATAGTTTATCTTGTACCCAAATGTGTCCTGAATTTCTCTGACCACCTGTTGGAATCAAGCTACAGGGGAGCCAGGAGGAATTCAGAACAACTGACTAAACCCCAGAAAAAAGCATGGTTGTAGGAACATGGTTGCAGGAACTAGGCAGCCTCATCATTTTAATCTTTGCCAAACTCATTGCCTCAGGAGTTTCTAAACACCCTTTGTGGTAACCTGCCCAGCCGCTGGTGATTCATTAACCACGTCCTGACCCTGACCCATGCTGCTCGGCTCGGCTCTGGCACTTGCTCTGAAAACACCTTCTAGGAGAAATCTGTTGGAGACTTCGGCAGGGCTGTTGCAGGGAGAACAGAGAACCTGGCTAGCGATGACAGAAGAGGATGGAAGCCTAATCCCTTTCCCATGGACTCTTCCCCACAGTGGCATTTACTGCCTCCATTTGTGCTCCAGGCCTCCTTCTCCAGGGAGCCCCAGTAGCCGGCGACTCTCCATTCTGTTTCTTTGCCTCTAGTGCCTGCTCCCCCCGCCTCTTTCTCTCTACTCCCATTCCCCTCCTCTCTTTCCCCTTTCCTCTTCCCCCTCTCCCAACATTCATGCCCAGTTTATTTAGTTATTGTTATCTTTTGAATTTTTATAAGAGTTTATCTGAGCCAAACTGGCGACATATACCGAGGAGCAAGATCTCATATGCTCCCCTTCTTCCCCAGTTTGAATAATTAAAATTGAAAGAAGGAATATCAGCAGTTAGGGGAAATTTCCTTGGCATAAATAGTGTCGAATGCGTATGCATACATGGCTTCAAGAAGAAGAATTACTGCCCTAACCGGTTTGGCTCAGTGGATATGGATAGAGAGTCGGCCTGCGGACTGAAGGGTCCCGGGTTCGATATTCTGGTCAAGGGCATGTACCTGGGTTGCGTGCACATCCCCAGTAGGGGGTGTTTGGGAGGCAGCTGATGTTTCTCTCTCATCGATGTTTCTTACTCTATCTCCCTTCCTCTCTGTAAAAAATCAATAAAATATATTTTAAAAAAAGAAGAAATATTACTGCTATTTAAGTAGTCTCAACATACAGAGGGAATCATGCTTTCCCCCCACCAGTGAGAACTGGTCTGCATGGTCTGCTTAATTTGCAGACTACACAGCATAAAATGAGAGAATAAAGAACAAAAAATAGGTTATTTTTTCAAAGTGTGTATTTAATACTTTAATCAAAGAGGTTTTGTGGAATTTTGGAGGGAGGAAGGGAGAGAGAAACATCAACATCTATGTGAGAGAAACATCGATCAGCTGCCTCCCGCATGTGCCCTGACCTGGGGATTGAACCTGCCACCTTTTGGTGCACGGAGGTGACGCTCCAGCCAACTGAGCCACACTGGCCAGGGCAGGATTGGTTTATTTTGGGAGGTGAGGTTAAACGTAATGAAGTAGGTACGAAGTCTGAAGAGCTCTTAAGTGATCTACTGATGTGAAGAAAGTAAAGCTTTACTAAATAGCATCTCATTGTAGTCTCTGGGCCAATGCCAAGTTGGCCAGTACTTAGAGAGCAAAGGAAACTGTTAAACAGGAACTGTTGTCTCAAGTAACAACCCTACAGCACACGTGGACTAAAGGAAGTGCTGCAGGTCATCATCCCATTTTCTTTCCACTTTATTTATTTATTTATTTAAAATAATCATTGTTGAAAGTATTACAGATGTCTCCCTTCTTCCCCCATTGACCCTCTCTGACCTGCCCCTGCCTCCCACCCCCACCCCGGGTAGTTTTCAGTACAAGCACTAAGGGGAAATCACTCTAAAAGGTTGGGGCAAATGAATGTGGCTGAATGCCGCCGAGTTGAAAACTAGAGGCATGAGTGAGTAAATGAGGATAATTACATCTTGCTAGAAAGATAGGTATTTTGTTTGAAAAATCCTGAGGTCTGAACCTGCCCCTATAAGAGCTAATACAATAAAGGGGGAAAGGTTTATCTATAAGCGTTAGGTAACATTTTTCCTAAGCAAGGTCAAATTCTGTACTACATTATGTAATTGGATAAGGAAATGTTTAACTCACTTTGAAGTTGTTTTTTGAATTCATGTGGTAATTTATGACTTATTTGAAATTCCTAGTGCCTGAAGGAGGAAACAGTGACAGACCTGGAGACTGAAGTTCTTTGTCCCTCACACAGGTATGGCACCCTGTCATGCTGCTAAGGAGTGTCCTCTCGAAAGGAAGGGGGAATTTAATTTTTACCTCAGGGCAAATAATACATGCCACACAGCCTCAAACCCTGTACAGGGTTACACCCTAGCTTGAAATACTAGTGAATGCTAATTTTGTGTTTAATGGACTAATGTAAAAATCTTTCGCTGGGAGGGTTGAGCCTTTGCTTTAGAACAGACTTGAGTCTTGTTGGTACTTTCTTGTTGGAAGATAGCTTTAAAGGTTTCCAGAGCTGTGGTGAAAGTGTACCTTTCATTCCTCTTTAAAGAAATTTAGTCCAGCCAGTGTTGCTCAGTGGTTGAATGTCAATGTATGAACCAGAAGGTCATGGTTCGGTTCCTGGTCAGGGCACATGTTGGGGTTGCAGGCTCGATCCCCAATGGGGGGTATGGAGGAGGCAGCCAATCAGTGATTCTCATTGATGTTTCTGTTTCTCCTTCCCTCTCCCTTTCTCTTTAAAATCACTAAAATATATATATTTGTAAAAGAGCCTGGCTGGCATGGCTCAATGGTTGAGCATTGACCTATCAACCAGGAAATCACATTTCTGTTTCCAGTCAGAGCACATGCCCAGGTTGCAGGCTTGATCCCTGATCTGGGTGCATGTGGGAGGCAGCCAATGGTACGCTCTTACATCGATTTTTTTTCTCTCTCTCCCTCTCTCTTCCTCTCTCAACTCAATTAAAACACTTTTTATTGTTAATCCTCACCCATTGATTTTTAGAGAGAGTGGAAGAGAGAGAGAGAGAGAAAGAGACAGACAATATCACATAGTTCTTTACAACATGGAAGAATCTTATTTGAGTTTCCTTTATTTCTAATAATCATACTTTAAATCTAAAGATGTATAGTTTTGGCCCTAACTGGTTTGGCTCAGTGGATAGAGCATCGGCCTGCGGACTCAAGGATCCCGGGTTTGATTCTGGTCGGGAGCATGTACCTTGGTTGCGGGCACATCCCCAGTCAGGGGTGTGCAGGAGGCAGCTGATCGATGTTTCTCTCTCATCGATGTTTCTAGCTCTCTATCCCTCTCTGTAAAAAAATCAATAAAATATATTAAAGAAGTCTAATTTTGAATAAAGTGCAAGCTTTTCTGAAAGATGATAATTTTGAATAATAGTACTTCATTCTTACTATAATTGTTATATTTAAAATTGACTGCCCCAAGTAAAGTATGATGAACTTAAAAGTAAACTAATATTTTAGGTGATAGTTGAACTCTTAATGTTGATTTCTCAAATTTGAACTTAACAGTTTAGAACCTGAAATAATGTTCTTTTCTTCTTCCTGAAGCTCTCGCACCATGCCTGGGTCACTTCCTTTGAATGCAGAAGCCTCCTGGCCAAAAGATGTGGGCATTGTTGCCCTTGAGATCTATTTTCCTTCTCAATATGTTGATCAAGCCGAGTTGGAAAAATACGATGGTGTAGATGCTGGAAAGTATACTATTGGCTTGGGCCAGGCCAGGATGGGCTTCTGCACGGATAGAGAAGATATCAACTCTCTTTGCATGACTGTGGTTCAGAACCTCATGGAGAGAAATGGCCTTTCTTATGATTGCATTGGGCGGCTGGAAGTCGGAACAGAGACAATCATCGACAAATCCAAGTCAGTGAAGACCAATTTGATGCAGCTCTTTGAGGAGTCTGGGAACACAGATGTAGAAGGAATAGATACCACGAACGCCTGCTACGGAGGCACGGCTGCTGTCTTCAATGCTGTGAACTGGATCGAGTCCAGCTCCTGGGATGGTGCGTTATGTCTCTATTCCAAAGAAACAATCTCTGAGGATGAATAGGCCCAGATGACCTTTTTTTAAAAAAATTTTAAAATATATTTTTATTGATTTCAGAGAGGAAGGCGGAAAGAGAGAGAATCATTGATCGGCTGCCTCCTGCACACCCCATACTGGGGATCAAGCCCGCAATCCGGGCATGTGCCCTTGACTGGAATCGAACCCATGGCCCAGTTGACCTTTTAATGAATGCTATATGCAAACGTTACCACTTACGCTTGTTGGTATATGTTCAGGAAGATAGCTAAGACTTTAAGCATATCTGCATTATGAATCTGTTATCTTTATCATGTAGGATATTACCTTATCAAAACTTAGACCATTTTTTTTTTAATCCTCACCCCAAGGATATGTACTTTTTATTGATTTTAGAGAGAGAGGGAAACATTGATGTGAAAGAGAAACATCAATTGGTTGCTTCCTGTACATGCCCTGACTGAGGATTGAACCCTCAACCTAGGTATGTGTCCTGACTGGGAATTGAACCAGAAACCTTTTGGTGTACGGGACAATGCTCTAACCAACTGAGCCACCCGGCCAGGGCCCATTTTCCAAAGATGGGGAAAGCATATTCTGGGGGAAATGTAACACTTCAGTTTCCACGTGTAATATTTACAGTATGGATCACCTTCTTTTGCACTGATGATGTTTTTCAGGACGGTATGCCCTGGTAGTTGCAGGAGATATTGCCGTGTATGCCACAGGAAATGCTCGGCCTACAGGTGGCGTCGGAGCCATTGCTCTGCTCATTGGGCCAAATGCTCCTTTAATTTTTGAACGAGGTGAGTGGGAATGTTTTTTGTTTTTTTAAAATTAGCACAGTATGCTGAGAAATTTGAAAATAGAAGCTAGTGCTTACTGAGTGGTCATTCACAGCAGACACTACTTGCTAAGTGCTTTCTTTGTATTATCATATTTAGTCTTCATAGCAATTGTATGTGGTGAGCAATGTCCTGTCCATTTTGCAGAGAAATAAAATGGGTTTAAGTAATAACTTAAAGGAAGCACTTGCCCGTAGTCACACAATAAGTGGCAAGCTTTATTTCCGTTTAGTAAAGCAATCGTAGTCTCCCAGTTAGATTTATGAAGCTTGCATGAAAATGTATAGCCAAGGAGTCTTAGGCCTATTGTGGATACAGTTGTTTCAGTTACTATTGGCTTCACCTTGTGATGCTTATACTGCAAGAGGCGAGAGTTGACTAGTTAAGGAGGGCCCAGTAATGCTTGCTAGCATGCTGACATCAAGAAGCAGAAATCCATGGACATCTTCCTTTTTGGTTCTAATAGGACTTCGTGGGACACACATGCAACATGCCTATGACTTTTACAAGCCTGACATGCTTTCCGAATATCCCATCGTGGATGGGAGACTCTCCATCCAGTGCTACCTCAGTGCATTAGACCGCTGCTACTCTGTCTACCGCAAAAAGATCCGTGCCCAGTGGCAGAAAGGTGGGTTTCCGCCGCTCTCCTCAGCTTGGTCTGTGTAGACAACCGTCTGGGTGTCTTCAGTGAGAAACTGCTCATGGGCATCCTTCATCAATCAGAGTCCTTTAACCATGTCTTCCTCACCCACCAAGTGGCATTTCCTGTAGTTTTGGGGAATGTGTAATTTAGGAAAAGAGGTAAGCTTTGGAAATGAGATATCTCTGCACAAGTACTTAGGCCGACTTATCCCCAGTAAGAAAACTAAAAAGTAGGGTAAAAGAAAGTAGCTTGAATTTTGTTCATCTTTTGTGAAAGGTCCTTCCACAGGTTTTAGTTTGTGACTGTGTCCAGAGAAAGCTGTAAGAAGGTCAATTTCTCCCCCCATTTGTACTTGACCTGTGGATTCATATTGGCTTTTTTAATGTCATCATTAATCTCCATCTTTAACCCTGAAAAGGTTCTTTTTTTCTCCCCAGTCGTATACTTTTTAATAGTTTTCAGAATCTAGGCTGAATAGCTTTTTTAAAGCTGCGTAGCTTTTTAGAATAAAAGTAATGACGATATAAGCTCGGGTACATGCTTTGAGACACTTGGTGAGCCACAGGCAGTCTGTGTCTTTGATGACCACTCAAAAGGGTGGCAGACTTCACAGAGTAACTTGATTACAGCGCGGAGGTAGATGGTCACAACATGGCACATTGTCTACAAAACAACATTCTGACAGAACTTCAGCAGGACACAGCACAGTCTCAGGTATTAATTCAGGCACTGCTTTCTGACCAGTACAGACTGCCTAAAAACCGGGCATGTATTTTGACTAGGGGAAGAAATAGATATAGCTGCTTAACTCTTCTGCTGGATACAGCATATCTTTTCCAGGAGGAGACAGGCTCAGCCAAAGGAGTTCTGAGGTACGGAAAAGGGCAGTATTGAGTCAGTGCTGTTACAACGCACAGTATTATCAGATAAAATATACTTTTCCCATAGTCCAGCGTGGCTTTATGAGGTTGTGAGAGAGGGTTAGAAGTATATTCAGACACCTGGTGGATCTGGACAAGCAGCATTGCTGCAGTCTGTAAAATGGGCACTGCTGAGCAGCCTGTATTGAAGGGTACGGCGATTCTATAACTGTTAGGACATGCAGTGAGAAATACACTTTACATCCTTTGTGTGTGCTGAACCCAAAGAAAAGTGTCATGAAATTGCTTATTCATGCTGTGAATTATGCAGCTTATTTTCTATTTAATTTTTTAAACTATAATTTTTTAAGATAAAAAACTCCTAGCCCTGACCCACTAACTTGATTACACAATCCACTAATGGGTTTTGACTGTTACCTCTGAAAACCAGTAATATGGTAGTGTATATTCTATCTCTGACTGTCTTTTTGATAAGCATTTTAAACCACACAGGTATTTCATTGTACCGTATATTTTTGGTTGTGATTTAAAGATATAAAAACATCCTAGCCCTGTTCAAAAATAAAACTTCAAAAGTCAATTACATGAATTTCATAATGTCTTTGGATTTCTTTTTCAGAGGGAAATGATAGAGATTTTACCTTGAACGATTTCAGCTTCATGATCTTCCACTCACCCTACTGTAAACTGGTTCAGAAATCTCTGGCTCGGATGATGCTGAATGACTTCCTGAATGACCAGAACAGAGATAAAAATAGCATCTATGGTGGCCTGGAAGCCTTTGGGTAAGTGGAATGTTAGGGTTTTTTTCCTCCTATATGAGAACATTTCTTATACCTATCTGTTAAACTATTATTTGTACAGTCCTGAAATTTTTAGAGTCCAAAGGATTTTAGAAGTAATCTAGTCTAACCTATTTGTGTCATCAGTGAAGAAACCGAGTCCCAGAGAAGTGGTGGCTTACCTACAGGAATTGTTGAGTCATTTCTACTCAGCTTTTCTGATTTTCCCCTTTTGGCGCCCTCTGTCATCAGCATGATAATGTGGCCCACCAGCGCCTATATTTACAACAGTCTCTTCACTCTCCTCCTGCCTCTCCCCAGCCCTGGGCCCCAGATTCATCTGCTCACTGTCAGAGTCGGCCTCCCTTCCATAGCTTCCGCACTGTTCAGGCTCACTGCCAACCTCCTTCCACTTTTCCTCACCTACCCCTTTTCCATCTGATGAAATTCTACTCACCTTTTAAGACTTGGCTCCTGTAATACAATGATTCTCCTAACTCAATAGACATTATTATGGACTCAAAATAGTATATTCTTTTTGGTGACAGCAACACTTTAGTGTGTGTATTAACCCATTAGAAGCAAGTTGTCTTAACTTGGTTATTAAAAACTTTGAGAAAAAGGATGATCTGTTTACAACTGTTATATCTTCCATATCAATTAGCATGCTACTACCTGGCCTTTAACAAATGGAATCATAAAGAACAGAATCATACACAGTTGGAGATTAGAATAGTAATTGGGTACACTAATACAATAAACATGGAGTCTTTGAACACTAAAGCTGTCTTTTACAAATCTTTCAGGGATGTTAAATTAGAAGATACTTACTTTGATAGAGATGTGGAAAAGGCATTTATGAAGGCTAGTTCTGACCTCTTCAATCAGAAAACGAAGGCATCTTTGCTCGTATCCAATCAGAATGGAAACATGTACACGTCCTCCGTGTATGGCTCCCTTGCCTCTGTTCTGGCCCAGTAAGTATCACTTTCCGCTACTAACTCCCCTCATTCAGGGAATGTTAGGATTCTAAGACCAGCTTCGGTGCCAGGTCACGGAAATTGTACTTCCAGGCTCTCTAGCCTATTGTCCATTGACTTAAAGAATATATGGGGTGAGGCTACCGTTATTCCATAGTATTTCATGTCAACATGGCTGTTTAAAAAAAAAATACATATTTTTATTGATTTTAGAGAGAACAGGAGAGGGATAGAGAGACAGAAACATCAATGATGAGAGAGAATCATGGATTAGCTTCTTCCTGCAAACCCCCACTGGGGATCAGGCCCACAACCCAGGAATATGCCCTGATTGGGAATCAAACCGTGACCTCCTGGTTCATAGGTCAACACTCAACCACTGAGCCACACCGACTAGGCACACTGGCTTTTCTGGCTCCTGTTCTCATGGTTTTATTATTCCTGACCAGCAGTTGAACCAGAAATGCCCGGTTGACAAGGTGACTTATTTTATGGTAAAATAACTTTCATAAGCCCCCTCCTCTCGAAGACATGAACAGCTTGGTTCTGTGGGCTAGCTGTCAAGTCAAGCTTTAGGTTAGGTCCCTCAGGCTATAGGACGAGTTCCTAGTCCAGCTCAGAGCTTTCTGCACACTGTTGTTTCACATCAGTTAAGTTTCCTGGCTCCTCCCCTGTACAGGTACTCGCCTCAGCAGCTGGCAGGAAAGAGGATTGGCGTGTTCTCCTATGGCTCTGGCTTGGCTGCCACCCTGTACTCCCTTAAAGTTACCCAAGATGCCACCCCAGGTAAACACAAAGTCTTTCAACAAGAACGTGTGGGAGCCTGTTCTGGGCAGGTTGTCCAACAGCTTCTCAAGCACGCTCAGTCTGTCCCACAGGGCGTCTGTCCCACAGGGTGTTGCTGCATTTCAATGTCAGTACTTCTTCCCACACAGCTGGGTTTTACTCTCATCTAAGAATCTGCCTTACCTGGGTGAAGGCAGTTCTGTCTGCCTGAGGATATCTTCTCTCCACCCTTCCAAATCAGGAAAAAATACCAGTTTAAACATTTTATGGTGGAGTGTTTTGATTTTTCCTTTTTTGGCAAATAACTTTACCTTTCATCTTGTGTTCTCAACATGTAGTCAGGGGAAAGGAAGCATATCTACTTAAGGCAGGCAGCTTTTTGAGTGTTTAATGATTCAGTCTGATCACATGAGTGAATAACAAATCATTTCTTTTTTTTTTTTTTTTAATTAAATCTTTATTGTTCTGATTACATTTGTTCCTCTTTTTTTCCCATAACTCCCCTGCTCCCAGTTCCCGCCCCACCCTCCGCCCTCACTCCCCACCCACTGTCCTCATCCATAGGTGCACGATTTTTGTCCATTCTCTTCCCGCATCTCCCATTCCCCTTTCCCCCCCCCAAGAATAGTCAGTCCATTCCCCTTCTATGTCCCTGATTCATTGTAATCACCAGTTCATTCTGTACATCAGATTATTTATTCACTTGATTCTTAGATTCACTTGTTGATAGATGCATGTTTGTTGTTCACAATTTGTATCTTTACCTTTTTCTTCTTCCTCTTCTTAAAGGAAACCTTTCAGCATTTCGTATAATACTGGTTTAGTGGTGATGAAGTCCTTTAGCTTTTCCTTATCTGTGAAGCTCTTTATCTGACCTTCAATTCTGAATGATAGCTTTGCTGGATAAAGTAATCTTGGTTGTAGGTTCTTGGTATTCAGTACTTTGAATATTTCTTGCCATTCCCTTCTGGCCTGCAAAGTTTCTGTTGAGAAATCAGCTGACAGTCGTATGGGTATTCCCTTGTAGGTAATTGAGTCTCTTTCTCTTGCTGCTTTTAAGATTCTCTCTTTGTCTTTTGCTCTTGGCATTTTAATGATGATGTGTCTTGGTGTGGTCCTCTTTGGATTCCTTTTGTTTGGGGTTCTCTGCGCTTCTTGGACCTGTAAGTCCATTTCTTTCACCAGGTGGGGGAAGTTTTCTGCCATTATTTCTTCAAATAGGTTTTCAATATCTTGCTGTCTCTCATCTTCTGGCACCCCGATAATTCTGACATTAGTGCGCTTGAAGCTGTCCCAGAGGCTCCTTACACTATCTTCACACTTTCGGATTCTTTTTTCATTTAGCTTTTCCAATTGGGTGTTTTTTGTCGAATCTTTGGTTTGATTCTTGTGCTCCTCTGGAATGCTATTGGGTATAATATTCTTTATTTCAGTCCGTGTATGCTTACTTTCTAATTTCCTTATCGTAGCATCGAGGGTCTCATTAGTTTTCGTGAGGCTCTGCTCAAGTTTATAGCAAGCCCTCAAAATTGCGATTCTTAGCTCCATATCCTCCATTTCTGTCATGTTTTTTTGTCTCCGCATCTTTTATGCTTTCTTGGTGCACCCCCTTGTGGTCTTTGTGCGCAGTCTTGTTCTAGCCAAGCCTTAATTGCTGTAGTTAACACTAGAGAGATTTGACCACCAGGCCGACTGGCTATAAGAATCAGCTGTGTGGAAAACGTCTGTCTTCTGGGGAGGCGCTAATCCAGCCTTTGCCTGAGGCGATCGGCAAATGGCTGTGCGCAGGATTTGGGCGGGGCAGGGTCAACAGGGCGGGCGGAGGGAGCAGTTATGGCCGCTCTCAGTCCCGTTCCCAGAGGCTCTGCTTCTCAGAACCCCGGCAGCCGCTGCAAACCTCGGAGAGAAAGCTACCCTCAGGTTCCAACTGATGCCGGATAATTCCGCTTCTCCCGTTTGAGTCTGGGTCCCTAGAGACTCGCCCGGATCTGGAGCCCAGAGTCTGAGACTCACTCCCGACCGAAAACGACAACCGCACCCTCAGCCACCAGCCCGCTTTCGCGCGCACCTCGGTACCTTTGTATTTTCCACACTGCGCCTCCTCTGAGCCTCGGTTTGCTGTTCTCTTTCCTTCTAGTTGTAGAGTCTCTCTTCAGCCAGCCTTCCTGTGGTTCTGGGTGATGTCGGTTCCGTCTTTTAGTTGTATTTTTGAAATGGTTGTTTGCGGCAGCGGTCTCCGGTGTTTACCTACGCCGCCATCTTGGTCCCGAGTCCAACAAATCATTTCTTACTGTTCACTAATATTTAAGTTATCTAGTTTTCCTAACTTTATGGTCTTGGCTACTTTTAAACTTCTGTGCCTTCTCTGTGGTAGAAGGAGCAAAAACAGAATGGTGGTAGACTTGGCACTGCTTTAAAAACTGCCTCTATACAAGTTATTTATAGTCTCAACCTCACCTGTTTAAAAACTTGTGCACTGGCTGACACTGAACAGGTGTCTAGTCAGAGGTCATAGAAGCTGTGTCAGGTAGATACCATCTTATCTTTAAATATATATATACTAGAGGCCCTGTGCACGAATTTGTGCACCAGTGGGGTCCCTCAGCCTGGCCTGCAGGATCAGGTCAAAACCAGCTCTCTGACATCCCCCGAGGGTTCCAGATTGTGAGAGGAAGCAGGCCAGGCCAAGAGATCCCACTTGGTTTTTCAACAGGAATTGTTGAGTCATTCCTACTCAGATTTTCTGATTTCCCCCTTTTGGCGCCCTCCGTCATCGCATAAGGTGGCCCACCAGCACCTGTATTTACAACAGCTGGGGCAAGGGAGAGACTCGGGTTGTTGGCCAGCTGGGGAGGGACTGTATGTCTGCCTGTCTCACTCAGTCCCTATTGGCCGGACCCCAGCAGCAAGCTAACCTACCAGTCAGAGCGTCTGCCTCCTGGTGGTCAGTGCACATCATAGCAACCGGTCGACTGTCTGCCCCCTAGTGATTAGTGCACATCATAGCAAGCGGTTGAGCGACCTTAGCATATCATTAGCATATTACACTTTGATTGGTTGAACAGCTGACCAGACAACCAGACACTTAGCATATTAGGCTTTTATTATATAGGACTAGAGGCCTGGTGCACAAAAATTTGTGCACTCGGGGGTGGGGGGGTCCCTCAGCCTGGCCTGTGCCCTCTTGTAGTCTGGGACCCCTCGGGGGTGACCACTTGCTGGCTTAGGCCTGCTCCCCGGGGGATTGGGCCTAAGCTGGCAATCAGACATCCCTCTGGCAGCCCGGGAGCCCTTGGGGGATGCCCACTTGCCAGCAGGGAGCAGACCTAAGCTGCAGTCGGACATCCTTAGCGCTGCTGAGGAGGCAGGAGAGGCTCCCACCACCACCGCTGTACTGGCAGCCATCAGCCTGGCTTGTGGCTGAGCAGAGCTCCCCGCTGTGAGAGCGACTGATCACCAGAGGGCATCTTCTGCATTGAGCGTCTGCCCCCTGGTGGTCAGTGTGTGTCATAGTGACCAGTCATTCCCAGTCTTTCTGCTGTTAGGGTCAGTTTGCATATTACCCTTTTACTGTATAGGATAGAGGCCTGGGTGCACGGGTGGGGGCCGGCTGGTTTGCACTGAATGATGTCCCGGATCAGGGTGGGGGTCCCGCTTGGGTGCCTGGCCAGCCTGGATGACGGGCTGATGGCTGTTTGCAGCTGGTCACACCCCCTTCAGGGTGGGGGTCCCCACTGGGGTGCCTGGCCAGTCTGGGTGAGGGGCTGAGGGCCGTTTTCAGGCTGGCGAGCGACTGAAGCTCCCAGCCTCTTTTATTTCCTTTTTTTTTTTTATTTTGGGATTTATTGACCTTCTATAGCTGTCACTGGAGCTGAGAGCCAGCTCCAGCTCTGAGGCTGTGGCTGGCTGAAAGCAGGTATCTGGGTTTGTTTAGCTTCTATAATTGAAACTCTGTTGCCATCACTGGCGCTCTAAGCTCTGAGCCCGCTGGCGGCTGAAAGCAGGTTTCTGGGTTTGTTTAGCTTCTATAATTGCAACATTGTTGCATCCGGAGCTCAGAGCTGGGCTGCGGCAGGCAGGGAACCTTGGCTTCCTCCGTCACTGTAGCAAGCCAGCCTCATGTTCGCTTCAGCTGCCTGGCTGCCAGCCGCCATCTTGGTTGGCATTTAATTTGCATATCTCGCTGATTAGCCAATGGGAAGGGTAGCGAAGTTACGGTTAATTACCATGTTTCTCTATTATTAGATAGGATATTTTTTAGAATTGATTTTTAGAGAGAAAGAGAAACATTGATGTGAGTAACTGCTTGGTTGCCTCCTGTATGCACCCCAACCGCAACCTGGGTCTGTGCCCTGACCAGGAATCAAACCCATGACCCTTTGGTGCACAGGATGATGCCCCAACCAACTGAGCCACACCGGCTGGGGCAGTAGATACCATCTTATCTTTAAACAATAGCCAGTAGTTATAACAAGCAGTGAAAGTGTGTTTTTTTAACACTTGGCAACATTTTGTTTAGGCTTTCGGGCATGCTATTTTTAATTTTTAATGTTGGAATTCTTTACTATTTTAGGTTCTGCTCTTGATAAAATCACAGCAAGTCTATGTGACCTTAAATCGAGGCTCGACTCAAGGACGTGTGTGGCACCAGCTGCTTTTGCAGAAAGCATGAAGCTCAGAGAGGACACTCATCACCTGGGTAAAATATTCTGTTGTTAATATACACACATATACATCCCAAAGCCTGTAACAACATGAAACATACCACATAAAGATACGGTTATCCACAGATCTAGGCTGTATTCAGTACAAACCTGATGTTGGTGAAAATTGTAGGAAAATATACAACTCTTCAGTTTATTACCAGGTAAGTTGTGTATATAACTAATTGTTCACATTCTCCGCCTTTCCTTCAGGCAACTACATTCCCCAGAGTTCCATAGATTCCCTTGTTGAAGGAACATGGTACCTGGTTCGAGTGGATGAAAAGCACAGGAGAACTTACGCCCGGCGACCCTCTCCAAATGCCAACACTTTGAATGAAGGAGTAGGACTTGTGCATTCAAGCACAGCCACTGAGGTACAGGGAGCGTGTGGTGGTTGGTCGTGGGCTTTGGTGGGGGACATTTCCATCCCCAGATTACTGGGCGTGGGGGGCCTACCTGAGGCTTAGCAGCTTAGGGAATATCAGAAAGAGAGATTCAGAGCGGGCTTGGGGCTTGGGTTCCAGCTGTGCCCTTTCCCAGTTTTATAAAGTCCTTGCATTTAAATGGTTAGCATTTTCAAGTTTTAATAATACCAGAATTGAGGGGAAGACGGGTCTAGAGAGAGGCTCATTTGTGACACATCTTGGGAGAGAACATAAGGATAGGGTGTTGCGGCCCTCACCTCTCTTCTCTTGGGCCGTTGACAAAGTGGTCTCCAAAGTTGCCAGGAGGTGGCAATAATAGCTGTGCTTTGAATTCCTACCGTGCTCGGTACTTTATTTTCATTTTCTAATTTAATCCTTATCAAAATGGCCTTTTGGTTAATGATACTATGCCCATTTTAGAGATGAGGCTATAAGAAGTTAAATGGCTTGACGAGGATCATAGCCAGGTTCAAACGGAGGACTTTATAACCTTGCAGTTATTTATTATATCTCCTCAGCACGAACTTGGTGAACACAATCTTGCTTCTTGCTATTATACAAACTAGGTAGCAGGTCAACCTTCCGGCGTTTGGGTTGTGAATGGGAAATGTAACAAGTATAGGCCGTGGCTGGTGGGTCTCTGGCCTCCCCCTCTCTTGCTGTGTTGATAGTTGTGTAAGTTCACCATAAGGTAAAGAATGGTGTTCAGTTCCCGCTGTGAACAGTTATATAGAATATATTTAGCATAAACCTCCAAGGTTGGGCTCTGCCTTTCTACTGGAACTTGCATTAGCACCATGACTCAAAGCAGCAGTGACCTGAGGCAGCTTCTCCCGTTGATTTTTAGCACATTCCAAGTCCTGCGAAGAAAGTGCCACGGCTCCCGGGGACGGCAGCAGAGCCGGAAGCAGCTGTCATCAGCAACGGGGAGCATTAAGAACTGCCGTGCCGTGCGGGGAAGACCCGTGTGGGCCGGGCGGGGTGGGGTATGTATGGGAACGGTTGGGAATGGGATGTCTGGGACAATATTAAAGGATTACATGTTGCTTAAAATTTTGTGACTGACATGGAGCCTGGAAAACTATCGTGTTCTTGGGAAAGTCTCTGCTCAGTTTGCTAATTCGCTTCCTATTGAGTCTAGCTGATGCTTACTGTTCTCCATGATGTTAAGGGCTCTGCAAAACTTCATACCTCTCCGGCCATTCGTATGCATGAAGCTTAGTTTTTAAATGTGGTTTGATGAGTCGTTTGTTTCTGGCAGAAAGGAGCAGAGGTACTGGTCTTCGATTTTAATTTTTTTGAATGGATAAGAATTTTATACTTTGAACAAACAAGATTACTGAAAGTACCTGTGGTTTTTGATAAAAAGTTTCTAGTTTAAGGAATGTGCTCTTACATGTGATATACACAAACCCTGTTTGAAAATGGCAAGACAAACATGTTGTTTTTCTAAACTCTGTACATTCTGGAGAGAAGAGTTGGAAACTGGAATGTGGCTTTAAATCCAGGCAGCGGTGGCGAGTGATTGCAGGGCCTGAGCGGAGAGGCTGGCCCTGAGCAGGCCTGGGAGGGCGGCCTGGTGTGTTTCAGCTCTGAGTGTGGCTCTAGGTCTGCCCTGAATCCGTTCATGCTGGACGAGGCGGAAAAACACTGAGATGTTACTGGAACTTGTGTATGAGGAAGCTTGTTGCTGCAGTCCTTCTGTGTACCCTATTTTGAAGAATAAACAAAACATTTTTCTGGCTGCCTTTTCAAAATTTTAAAAAGGAGGGATAGGGCAAGGCGCTAGTTACTCTGATGCGTCAGTGTTATAAATGCAACCGAAAGACTGTGTAAGTATTCTTTTCCTTTTTTAAAAAAAATCTGTTTAATGAAAATAAAAAGGTAAAACCCAAGTTTTTACATAGTTTAATCAGCCAAAATGAGTATTCCACTTAGATCTGGAAGTAGGATCTATAAAGCATTTTCTCAGACTTCCACCTTAAGAAAACCATCACAAGGTCCGAATAAGACTGGCTAGACAGTTCTGTAGATATTTTTGGTGCTGAACTATGACATGAGCCTTATAGATTGTAAAATAGAGCTAGTTGGAACTAATGTACAGAATTCAATTTTTAAAACTTTATTTGCTGTTAAATTCTGTGAAGTCTCAGTTATCTAAAATAAACGTACACAAATATGAAATGTAATGTTTCACATTGCAAGGTAATATGTAATGTAGTGTTTGTAAAATACTCTTGTCTAATATTAACTAGTGGTACTTTGATTTGTACAGTCATACTTTGTTAAAATGACTTCATTTTAACATCCAGATAAATAATGGAAGTTCAGATTTAAAGATCGATGGGAAAGTGGTGCATGCAATACTTCCACAAGTATTGGGAGTTTGGTATGTTTTAAAAAGAGTAACTTTGGTGTCAGAAAAAGGGTTGTCTCAAAGTCCATTGCCAGCAATGGGCAGGCCCAGTAATATGGCACAGAATTAACTGTACACCTTATTGACAGTGAGGTGAATAACTTTGAATAAAGTTTTCGAGAAATATGGCAGATATTTGCGTCTTCTTTTTCTCTCCTAAACTAACATTTAGGCAAGAAATCAGCTGATAATCTATCTTTAAATATGGGCACTTCGCCCTAGCTGGTTTGGCTCAGTGGATAGAGCGTTGGACTTCAGACTGAAGGGTCCCAGGTTCGATTTCAGTCAAGGGCATATGCCCAGGTTGGGGGCGTGCAGGAGGCAGCCAATCAATGGTTCTCTCTCATCGTTGATGTTTCTATCTCTCTCTCCCTCTCCCTTCCTTTCTGAAATCAATAAAAATATAGTTAAATAAATAAATAAGGGCACGTGTGTTATTTAAATTTATTCATTCACCAATTCATTCATCATTCAACAAACATTCCAAAATGTGATATAAACAAGGTACTCACTTAAGTCAGAAATAAAATTTATAAGATATATGGTCTTGCCTTCAAGGAACTGTCCCTCTAGTGTGGAGTGATTTATACTGATAATTTATTATTACACTTTAGACAAAGAAAGGAAGTTCCAAGTTGGGTGATAAGCATGTATGAAGTTTGCTATAATTTCTTTTAAATATATTTTTATTGATTTCAGAGAGGAAGGGAGAGGGAAAGAGAGATAGAAACATCAATGATTAGAGAGAATCATTGATTGGCTGCCTCCTGCATGCCCCACACTGGGGATCGAGCCCGCAACCTGGGCATGTGCCCTTGACTGGAATGGAACCCAGGACCCTTCAGTCCGCAGGCCGACGCTCTATCCACTGTATCAAACCAGCGAGGGCTATAAATTTTTTAAAAATAGGTTTTTATTGATTTCGGAGAGAGAAACATCAATGATGAGAGAATCTTTGATGGGCTGCCTCCTGCATGCCTCCTATTGGGGATTGAGCCTGCAACACGTGCCCTGATCGGAATAGAACCGTGACCTCCTGGTTCATGGGTCGATGCCCAACCACTCACCCACACCGACTGGACTTGCTATAAATTTTTATATAGAGAGTTACTTTGTGTTCCTTGAAACAACTTCAGATTAAGAGTTAGCAATTAAGGATTCAGAGCAAATTCTATAGCTCAGCGACAGCTTCCAGCCCAAGGGTCATGTGTACATGTCCCTGGTGCTCCCGGGGGTTTTACAGAGAATTTCTGCATTGGCAGTAATTGGACTAGGTAATCTGAGTCCCATCAACTCTTTTGGATTGTATGAATTAGGGAGTACACCTAATTTTATGGTACTGATTAGCTCATTTTATCATGTCATGTCTATATTCAATACTTAGTAATAATTTCATTTATTTCCTGTCCCTCTGGGTCATTCAGAAAAAGGCCAGTGTTCTGTTCTCTAAGGTCACTTTTGCAAATTCTAGAACCCTAGGGAATATGGTTTTAAGAGTCCTTACCCTTCTCAAATGAATTTGTGTACTTTTCCCCTCACCTTCTGGGTTTTTGTTTATTTTTATGAACACTGATAATTCCGAGATTTTAAACACTAGAAGAAACTCAAATAGATGCAAGCAACCACTTTGGTCCTCTTGTGACTTAGTTGAAATGCTTTCTCTTGTCCTGCTATTTGAAATGGCCTAAGAAACAATGAAGTAGAAATCAACAGAACAAGGAATGTAACATGATCTTTTTTAAAAATATTTTTTTATTGATTTCAGAGAGGAAGGGAGAGGGAGAGAGAGAAACACCAATGATGAAAGAGAATCATTGATCAGTTGCCTCCTGCACCCCTGGGGATCAAGCCCACAACATGGGCAAGTGCCCTGACCAGGAATTGGACCATGACCTCCTGGTTCGTAGGTTGATTCTCAACCACTGAGCCACACCAGCCAGGTGTAATATGATCCTTAAGTAAATTAGAGCTATGTAATCTTGACACAAACATGAACACTTTAAAATTTCTAGCAACTGCTCTTAATTGAACATAGGCTCCTCATTTTATTCCCTCTAATTTGTGGTGGAAGAAAATAGTTGACCTGTGATCCCCCCCACCCCCCCAAACTGTAAAGACAGTAATTTGATGCCGGAGATTATGAATACCAATCCTCAGGAAGTTTCTAGATCATCAGGGCTCTAGGTTATAATTTTTTTTAAATGCATTTGTATTTAAATGTTTACAAGTAAAAAAACAAATCTTATTTGTCCTATTCCGTCTTTGTGTAGGCAATAATAGTAAGAGTTATTGAATTTTGCAAAAGCTCCCAACCCACCTTAGCAAAGTCTTGTTGGTCTTCAGGGTCCAGCTCAAGTTGCTTCCATCCTGAGAGCTGGCTGGGCTACCTTACTCGGTAGTGAGCACTTTTCACCCCGGAGGGCATCACGTTCCTTACTCAGACTTGCAAACTCCCAGGGGATCTGGTCCCTGCCAGCACCACACAGTCCCACACTCCTCCTGCCTTTCCTCCATTCCTCAAACATGCCAAGGTATTCCAGCCTTCCAGCCTTTGATCTATGCATCTGAAACCTTCGGCCCCACTCAGACCTCTGCCCTGCGGTCTTCACCAGGGTCTCAGAGAATATGAGAGCACCTCCCTTTGGATTCCTGCTACATACTCCCCTCTTTGGCCTCACTGCGATGTGGGATCCCCACAGAACTCACTTGGTACACAAAATTTCACCTCCCGGAAGGGCAGAGCGGTTAAGTTGCCCTGGGGTCACTTGCTGGTGACCGATGGTGGACACTCACTGGTGGGTAAATGCTTTTTCCTTCCATCCCCTGGGCAGACAGTTCTGAGCAGCACTCAGATCCTGCAGATCAATGACCAGTGTCCTGTGGCCGATCCAGCAACACATCTTATGCTGGCTTTCCTTCTCTTTGTTGTACTCCTGTGTGTCCCGCACCCTGGGGTCATTTCCCAAATAAATGACTTGCCTGCCAGCTTCTGTGTCAGGCTCTGCTGTTTTGGAGAATTCAGGCTAAGACCATTGATACCTGGGACAGTCATAAAATGGCCCCTCGGGATGGGAGGTTGGAGCTGGTTTACTCATCAATCATGCAAACCATCCCATTGCGGTGTGTAGTTGGCAGAGTGATGACCAAATTATCCACAGTACTAGTAGATAAAAGATGACCATCTCTGGCCCCTGAGGATGTTACCCTGCATGGTGAAAGCAAATATTAAGGTTAAGGACTGGGAGATGGGAGATTTCCCTAATGGTCTGGATAACCCAAACCTAATCACATGGGGCCTTAAACGCAGACCCATCTGGGCTGTTGTCTGGTGGCCATGGGAGGATGGGCAGTCAGGGAGATGCACGTTGCTGGCTTTGAGGATGGAGGAAGGAAACCACCAGACAGGGAATGTGGGATGCTTTTAGAAGCAGGAAAAAGCCAGGAAATGGGTTCTCCCTAGAGCCTCCAGAAAGCCCAGACCTCACACATTTCAGCGCAATGAGGCTCATGCTGGGCTTCCATCCCACAGAACTGTCAGGTAATACATTTGTGTTGTTTCTCGCCACCAAGACATCACGGCATCAGGGGAACCGAAGGCACTGCTGGTGGGCAGGGTGCAGTCGCCCTGCAGGCAGGGCAGCAGGTTACTGTCACTACAGGTGCAGGTGGGCCAGAGCCGGATCATGTAGCACCTGTGGCGCTTGACCAGTACAGGGCGATGATAAAGCCTGGGTTTGGCCAGCTTTCATTAACTGCTTTGAAGCCTGGGGAAAAAACTAAATAACGTGCTTTTAAGTCAGCCAACCATCAAGTCTACTGTGAAAGTCTGAGCGCCTTGGATTGCCACAGAGGAAAAGCACCTATGAGGCCCAGGGCCTAGTAGGGAGGGTGGCTGAGCTGCACAGGAGGTACTTGACCACCCTCTTTTATCAAAGGGCCTTGATAGGAAGAGAGTGGGAGACTAGGGTCTAAGTAACGAAGGGAGGATGAGTCTGAAAATGTTGAAAACCGGCTCCCCACACGTGGGTCTTCCTTGTCTGAAGACCCCGCCGAGGTCTAGGGAGGCAGATGCCTGCCTGCAAGATGCTGCTCGGCCTCCTCGAGATGCTCTTCCAATACCTTTGTTCTCCAAACGGAGAGCTGGGTAGGTCCCCACGCATCCCGCGCAGAGAACTACAACCCTGTCCCGGAGGAAGTCGCTTAGACACTGAAGGAGCTGCCGAACCTGGCAGAGGTGCACTGTCAGGAGCCAAGGGGGGACGTGGGGGGAGCGGGGGAGGATCCTGAGGGCATTGGGCCAGGGGTGGGGGTGGAGGGACAAATATGAGGCAGGATAAAGGGCAGTTTATTATCATGGGAGCATTAGTGAAGGGCGCCTGAGCTGGTCCTTATGTTCTGCAGGGACGGCTGTCGAGGTTGGCCATGAGCTTGGCTCACAGTGAATGAGGCACGCACAGTGGAGCTGCCGTGGCGTAGTGTTCAGGGCAGGGACAGGAAGTTCCAGGAGGTGTGAATGTCAGAAGGGATTCATTACGTGAGACTGGAGAACCACCTGTTTCCCAGGAGCACGTTCCCTTCACTGAGGCAATGAGAGTGCGCAGCACCTGTTCGAACATCAGGGATTGGTGGGGAAACGCTGCGTGGAACCAGGCATGCCTTTGCCAGCGGGACAGTGGGATTCCAGCATGGCAGAGGCCATGTGGTAGTATATACATGTCAGGCGAGGTGGACATAATTGAATGGACGTAAGGCTGGAGTGGAAATCAGGGTGTCTTGCCCTGCGGGGGCTTGTGACAATGGCTAACAGATCACAGAGTTCTGAGTGACAGCTGGCTGGAGTGTTAGTTACTTGACTTGCAAAACCAAAAAGAGAAAGAAAGGAGGCAAGTCGGTGAGCAGAGCCCGGGGTAGCCTGTCACCGTGAGAGAATCATGGCCCCAGGTGTAAGCTGATTGACAGGTCCCATGCAGTGGGAGAGGCCAAGTCTCTCTGCTGCCACACATGTATGCAACATATACACCCAGAATTTTTGAGGACTGTTGGATAAAAGTCTACGCTGGAACGATACCAGGGAACGGAGGATCAAAAACAGTTCACGTTTCTCTGGGATGGACATCGATTGTCATTTACT